AATTTATTCAAAAAAAATTACAATAAAATCCTTTTAATAAATTTTTATTAAGATAGTTTTTGTAGTAAAAGAATAACCTTTGTACTCCACCTTATAAAATTTTTTTATTATTTAAAAAAATTAATTTTTTTATTAAAAAACTAAAATATCTTGATTTTTAAAGCATATTTTAATTTTTTTCATAATGCTTTCTTAAAAGGACCCTATTTTGAAGTTTTTTTAGCCATGGCTAATAACACTAATCTTTTTATAATAATTTAAAAATAACAATATAATAAATATTAAGACACTGATATAAAAATCATCTGATTCAATATAATTTACAATATATTTAGTAAAAAATTATTATTTTGAAATTTAAATTAAAAATAAAAAAAATGTAAAGACGTAAAGTTTAATAGTACGGATAGATTGAAAGGATGGTATACCAATAATTTTTTTAAATATTAAGAACTTTTTTATTGAAAAATGTTCAAGTTTATTTTATTCTCATCGCCCAAAAAACAAAAATGTTTATTTAACTCAGATGCCAGCCAGAGAAGTAGGAAGCTTTTTTCTGTGCAGGAAAATTTAGACTTGTTGTTCGTACTCCAGCATCACCCTAGGCTAAAGACTCAAATATCCTCTCTTGACATCTATCTCTCCTTTTATCTCTTTTTGCATAAAGAATAATTGGACTCGAATATCATGACAATTTAAACTTTAATAGAGAACATGTTAGAATCTGCTCGAATTATATAGCTAGAGGTGTCGAAACTGGTGATTCATACTGTTTGGATCTCGTTACTTGTCGATTGCAATCTGGTCATTTTGGACCATGAATTTAATCACACAGATTGAACACATAAATATTTCCAGCAAACACCAACCATGTTCCTGGACCACTGCTAAGAGTTTAGTTGTATTGCATCTCGATCCTATCTCCGAATTTGACCAATAATATTAATCCCCACCCCCTAAATATATAATTGTAATGTGCTTGTTAAAAACAAAAAAATTATCCACCAAACAGCAGCCTTTCCTCCTTGCTTTCGATATTTCCCCTCTCTTCCTATTTTTTGAAGTTGTACTGAATGACAATGAGAGTCGGAGAGAGCACATTCACACGAGGGACTTGAATCTACCCACTGGGTCAAAGTTAGTACATAAGTTAAAAATGAAAAACATCTAACAATCCTACCAAGGAGTAGCAATTAGACTTCAGCACCTTTTAAGGAAATTGCCAGAGTGCTTGTTATTTTATTTAGTCTTAGAGAGTAGCTTGTTTGGAAAGCAGTGTGGTTGGTATAAAGCTCCTCTCTTCCAGTGAGCAATGCGAGAATAAACTTGATGAATTAGCGTGAAAGACATTGGCATTGTAGCCTTTGAGTATACTAACCATTTTTTCATTATTTATAATTATGGTTTTTTTTTGTTTTTTTTTTAACAGCTATAATTATGGTTTGGTTATTATATGCCGATGTAACACATTGACCCACATCGTGGTGCGGCACGGTATATACAGTATTTATAAATAGAGATTTATATTATAAATTTCTACTTTTAAAAGTCATTATTATAGAAGACAGAAGACGTCAATTCTGCTCAAAATGGTTCTCCTTTTGCAACCCCATAAAATATAAGGGCTTCTTTTTAGCGCTGATCAAGTTTAGGGGCTTAAAATTTGTCCTAATTCATTTAAGGGGTTAAAATTAATCTTCAAGTAAGTTCACGTGTCATGTAATAAATATACATCGACAAACCCCAAAATTTAGATTTACTTGTAAGTAGGTGTTATTTTATAGTTTAGATTTAAAATTCAAGTTTTAGTACCAACATTTAAGGAACTTAATTTTTTTGAATGCAACAAATCAATATGCGGGTGTGTCTTTAAGATTGTTTGAGTAAAGAGTTAATCTTGATACAAAAGGAAAGCTAAAATATTATGTGAATTAATATAAGAGTGGTGCTATAGAGATAACTTTTTTATACAATTTTTTTATACTACATTTTCATACAATTTTCATATACCATTAAATGAGGGGATGCATTTAATATCACGATTCACATAAATTAAAAAAAACAATTATTTTAATAACATATCAGATTATATAAGAGGTTGTACAAAAATCATTTCCCTTAATACAATTATTTGGACGAGATATGAAATCTCAAATAGAAGTACTTTTACAGGGGATATAGAATCATATCATAGAATTAAGTACGGGTAATTAATTTGGTGGAGATCATATTTAAGAAGGATTAGGACTTCATGAACCGGTCTTTTTGAATCTAATGATTTGTTTCTAAGATTTAATACTTGAGTTTAATACTTGAGTTTAATTGACTAGGAGTTTGACTCCTACCATGTACTTGAAATTTCTCCCTTTCCCCCATAATTCCCCATGTTCAAAAAAAAAGAAAAAAGGAAAAAAAGGATTAGGACTTCATAAGCACAATATGTATATAAATATAGGGTTATGTTATTACTACGCTCTCAATTAATAATATCAATTTTTTAATTTATTAGAAAAAAATATAAATTTTTTAAAAAATATATAATATAAAGGTATACTAAATAATTACATTAAAAATAAAATTATTATTTTTAAATTTGAATTTAAGGTGAGAAAAATTTCATTTATAAAATTTATTGATTAAACTGTTGAGTATTGATAAGTATATTGAATCGAAAGATGTACCAATAATTACTCAAGAAGATATTACAGCCGCTGCATATTGATCTTTAAGTAGTTTGTACTAAATCATGAGAACCATGACTTGCATCAACATATTGTTACTGACAGCGACCTTAGTTTTATCTGGGCTATTTTCTTTAGTGAATTGCAGGGGTTTGGCCTTTTTACATGTTCTAATTTTGCTCTTAAAAAATATTGTTATGCCTTTTCTTTACTTTTGATTATAAGAGGTATATTAATCGGTAAAGTTTGATCATTATATTCTTTTGTGTTTTGCAGTGGTCCAGATTTTTTATAAAGAGAAAAATGTTTACATATTATAATAAATGGATAGAGGAAAGTCAAGTTTTCTGACATTTTAAATGTAAGGAATGGTAATAAAAAAATTAAAATATTTTTAATCAATTAACATATAAAAAAGATTTATTAAAGATATTTAAATAGTTTTATAGGGGATTCTGACATTTAACGTGCTAAGATATCTTGATTTTCATTTTTATCTTTTAATAAATTTTATTAAATTTTCAATGAAAAATTAAAACATCTTAATTCTCAGAGTATGGTTTTTCTAAACTATGTTCTATGGGTATATTTATTCAACTTTTTAATAATTAATTTGTATAAAAATTTACAAAAGTAAATTCTATTTTTTAATACTAATTTCACATGAAATAATTTAAGGAAATATTACTTATTCACTTTATTTTCTAAAAAAATTAGAAGGAAAATTATTTTAATACTACGTAGTTTTAATAAATTTTTATTAAAAGAGATTAAAATATCTTATTTTTTAAAGTAAAAATTGGAGTGTTATTTTGCCCCTTCTCATGGTGGTTTATTGAAATTATATAGTTTTAGAATAATTTTTTTTCCTAATCTTTGAAAGATGAGGCGAATAAATACTAACTTCATAATTTAATTTGACAATTAATAAAATTTAAGTTAACTTTTATTTTTCTATGTAGATTAATGGTAAAATGATACAATAAATACACTCTTAAAAAGCATTGGTTAAAAAATTCTTTTAGAGTATAAATGAAATTATTTTAATTTTTCTCGTAATTGTTCATTAAAACTATCTAATTTTAAGTATATTTTCATTTTTTTTGGGCAGATTAGATAGAGAGATAATAAAAATAAAAACACTACTAGAGTTCATTAATTCACCGACGAGAAATCATGTCGGAAAGAAAAGGAATTACGTTGGTAAAACAAGCTTTTAACTTGAATCATGTCGGTGATTGTATTGTTGATGAAAATGGTTTCGGTAATTCGTTTACCAACATGGGTTACAATTACGTCAATATAGTGACTCCCAATTATCAACAAGCAACATGTCTCCAACATTGTGCCAAAACAGTGCGATTGGAGATCTTTTTTGGTGATCCACGTTGGTAATTTACCGACGAACAAATGATATCAATACCAAATATTACTACTCTATACCACATGATGCTCAAGACATGCACCTCCATCACTTCAAACATTCCAGGGACAAAACACTCATTGGGATTCGAAAATGTGTGGCATACTTGAAGGAGATAATAGCACCAGCCGCCAACGGTTCCCCATTATTGACAAGACAATCACCAATGCTGATATGTTTGAAAGTTTTGGGATTAATTAAATTGTTAGAAACGAACTCCTCGCAATCAATATGGAAACGGGAAATTTTACACCCGTTGGGACAATTATTTGAAATCTGCACTGACTGTATTGGAATTCCATTAGGTTTGGTGCCTCTTGACCCTGTGCTATTTCAACATAGTTCTTGGCACAATCTACAGCGCCAGACGGTTTTACCACTACAAAACACAAAAGAATATAATGATCAAAACTTTACTAATTAATATATTAGTAATTCCAAACAAAACCTAAGATCCAGGGCTTAAGTATGTTGTTAGCCTTTGGGTTCTAGAGTTATTTGGAACTCTATTGGAAACTTTATATATATATTGATTTTAGTGCTATTATTTTTAGATTCTTCTTAGTATGTAATGATTGTTGTTCGTATTTGGCAAAATAATGCGTTGGGGGACAAATAGACAACCTTCCACTGTTCCACATACCCCCACTGTACCAATTGCCAAATCCCAGCGTGCCTCTTTTTCCCAAGGGACC